TTAACCTGGTTCAATCAGCCAGTTTTGTGTGGTTTTCAGAACTATGATGTCGTTGGTCATCTTGCATCTCTTCTGTGATTCTTGTCATAGTACTATGGTTTCTGTGGTAAATCAAAGCTGGTTCCGGTTAACCCGGTTCAATCAGCCAGTCTATTGTAGCTTTTAGAACTATGTTTTCATCGGTCTACTGTGCAGTCTTGGGCTTCATATGGAGCATCTGTGCATAACTGTAACAAACTGAAGGCAGATTGTGTTGTTCTCAACACTATGAAACAACTTATTCAGTCAATAAAGTTCTAATAATTTGGTTAAAGTATGACAAGGTCTTAGTGGAAATGTATAGTTCTTATCCTATTTTTTCCCAAAACTAAATTTCTTCATTCGTCTATGTATGTTGTCTAATGTAAATTTTAACCCTCCCATCTGATTTTAGATAGACAATCACAAGATGGGTTTCCACGTTGGAGATATACTTAATATGCTTTGACCACCAATGATTTTTTGTAGCTTGCCATCTAGAAAGAATCATTTGCCAAGGCATGCATTAGAAAAAAATGAAAAGAGAATGAATATTATCAATGTGATTCTCTGTAGTACTCAGTTAACGTTTATTGAAATTCTGTGAAACTGAATCTTAGATGAACTTTAGAATGGCTTGAATATGGTTTTGCCCTTGGATTTTAAACCAGTGCTTCCCCTTTGGTGGAATAAACCTGCACCTTATGTAGAGGGGTCATACTAATCACTTCAAAATTTACAGGTTATTAATGGTTGATTGGTTTTATGCTTATTGACTAACAAGGATAATGGCTTGACTGCCCGAGTGTGAACGTTAGGTTGTTGGACATATATTACATGCATATAATTTGACAGAACAGTTTCTATAAGAAATGGAAGTCTTTTACATACATACATACATACATACATACATACATGTATATATATATATATATATATATTTGTTTTTGTTTCAGATAAAGTGGCATTTGATAATTTTACATTTTTTATAGCTGTTGAAAATTGTTGATTCATATTGTGGCATTCTTATTGTCTCAGTTCCTATGGGCAGAATTTGTCAACAAGTACTTTTATTGGGGAAACGTCATTTGCCATTCTCATTGCCATTGTTGGCCTTGTATTATTTGCCCACTTAATCGGGAATATGCAGGTAACTATAGAAACGCTTCTTGCCATCATTACTTGCTTTTAGAATTACTTTTCTGCTGCTTGAAGTTTGGAATGTTTCTTCATCAATTTTTTGTCATTAAATACCAAGTGACGTTTGGGAGAAACTTATTAATTAATTCCCCCCACAAAGTTTCATTTATAGAATATTATCTACAATGGTAACTTTCTTCGTTGGGGACATGCCTTGGACTAGTAATTACATTTAGTTAAATTTGTGATTCAATTATATCGGCTTACTATTTTAAATGATCGTTGATGCTTGTTGAATTGATACATTAGACATTGGGATTATCTTTAGGCTTTTTATCCAAAATGATCTCTGAGATTTGCATAATTCTTCATTTTGGTCCTTGAGATTTGAAATCTATAGGATAAAATGATAAAAATACCCTCAAGTTTTGTCAAATCATTTTGGCCTATTGTTTATTAAATTGAGGGTAGTTTTGTCATTATATTCTTTATTTAACATAACCATTCACGGAAGGCCAAAATGATTAGTGGTGGACAATCTAAGGGACCACTTGAATTGGTTTCAAATCTCAGGGATCACAGTGAGGAGTTATGGAAATCTCAGACTATTTTGGCTAAAAAGCCTTATCTTTATATTGTAGACCTATCTCCAATCAATCACTGTGAGGCTTGAGGAGTGGAGGCTTAAGAGAAGAGACACAGAGGAATGGATGAAGCATCGTCAACTCCCTGAAGATTTGAGACGGCGTGTTCGACGCTTTGTTCAGTACAAATGGCTGGCAACTAGAGGAGTTGATGAAGAAGCCATCCTTCGTGGCTTACCTGCTGATCTTCGTCGTGATATTCAACGCCACCTATGCTTAGATCTTGTTCGAAGAGTATGGTTCTTCCCAAGTATTTATAATTTTGCGCTTGAAGGCAATCTCATTCAGTTAATATCATATATGCATGCCTAGCAACTATTAGGGGAAAAAAAGGGATCTTTGTAGTAAAACAACTGGAGCCTGCGTCTGATGGTGTCTGAAGGCTCCAGTTCCCATTGTATGCTGAATTAGGATATAGGTTGAAAGCGTAACACATTAGACAGGCATCAAAGATTAATATGATGCCGTTGAGAATGTCTCAAAGTGCATGTGTTTGCTACACTTGGGAACTCATCCTAATGTAGTGTAACCGCTTACAATGTCATATATTTTGACCAAATAACTGATATAAGAGCTCTGATGATTCATATGCTTTGAAATAAGATGGAAATAAGAATTAACCCATTTTCCTTTCTCATTTCGTCAGGTCCCTTTCTTCTCACAGATGGATGATCAGCTTCTCGATGCAATATGTGAGCGTTTGGTGTCCTCCCTAAGCACGGGGGGTACTTACATAGTCCGAGAGGGTGACCCGGTGACAGAAATGCTTTTCATTATAAGAGGGACTCTGGATAGTTCTACGACAAATGGAGGGCGGACTGGATTCTTCAACTCAATCACATTAAGACCTGGAGACTTCTGTGGTGAGGAGCTGCTCGCATGGGCTTTGCTCCCAAAATCCACTGCTAACTTGCCTTCTTCAACACGAACAGTTAAAGCACTTAGTGAAGTTGAAGCTTTTGCATTACGAGCTGAAGATCTCAAATTTGTGGCTAACCAATTCAGACGCCTGCACAGCAAGAAGCTGCAGCACACATTTCGGTTTTACTCTCACCATTGGAGAACATGGGCGGCCTGCTTCATACAGGCTGCTTGGCGCCGCCACAAGAGAAGAATGACGACAAAAGATCTGAGCACAAGGGAATCATTTGCTTTGGATGAGAAAGTGGCTTATGAGACTGAGCAAGAGGAAGAAGATCTTTCTGTTGTTTCAAATCCCTCTTCCCAGGCAAAAATGAATCTTAGGGTCACAGTACTGGCTTCAAGATTTGCAGCAAACACAAGGAGGGGAGCTCAGAAGCTCAAAGACGAGATGCCAAAATTACGAAAACCTGAAGAACCGGACTTTTCCACTGAGCCAGAAGATTAATAGGTTTCCTTATAGTAGGTTTATGGGTGCGAAGATAGCTATGCTTTTTCGGACAAGGGTGAAGTAAAACACATTCATGTACAAGATAATCATCTCAGTTTGCGGGACTGCATATTTCAGGTTTTACACAAATCCCTGCTGATTGCGATGTTAGATATCATTGGCATCCGAATCATACCCTCATAATCGACTAATTGAGGTGATTTTTGGAGCTTTGGTTGTTGGAGAAGTTGGACTTTATTGTCTCGTGGTACATCGAATGTATAAGAAATAACTGTATATTTATCTAATCTTTGTTTGTGAGCTCAACCAGAGCAAGACTGAATGGAAGACGTCGTTGTTTGCAGTCATTCAAGACTTGCAGCCAATTTTACGGAGCTTAGAAATATAACCATTCAAATCAACCACCCAACAAAAGGATATGGGGGCCTGAATTTTAGTTGAATTGAAACTTTGGTTGCTGGACTAAAAATTTGATAGCGTTGTTCTTTATTTGTTATATTGGGAAGTAGAGATCTTTTTTGGATAACTCCATTAGAACTCATGTCGCTTACTCGTCCCCTTACATTTATTTTGGATGGAAGTTCCAACGATTTAACCCAAAATGATTGCTACTAGATATTATGACACATTTAGGGGTCAACACGCAATTTTTTAGTTCAGGGTTCAAAGTTTAGAGTGGGCCAATTTAAGGGTTAATGTTCTAAATCTCTCCTTAAAAAAAATAAATAAGTAAAAAAAAAAAAAAACCATTAAGCATGAATAACAACCTAATTTTAAGGGATGACTCCAAATTGATTATAAAAACATTCCAAATAACTACCTAGTTTTAAAAATTGAACATTCATTAAGTCGCTAGCGTTAATTGATAGTGTCATGAAGCGTTAAAGTGGTGATGTGGAGAAATATTGAAGTTAGTTTTCACTGAGACGTCATTTATAGAGCTCTTAATACCTAAATCGACTATTTTTGGTCAAGTTTAACCCCAAATTTGCTTGGCTTAAAGGAGTCAAATTGAGGATATAAAGCTCCTTAGGTGATGTGAGTGAAAACTCTCCTTAATACTTGTCCATGCTGTCACTTAACAGTAGTAATCATATGAACGAAAACTAGCCATCATAGAGCTTCGATTCGCCTCAACCAGTCACATAGTTTGATCGCAATGATGCAAGTGACTTCCATATGGCAATATTAACTTGTATGGAACGGATACATCACTACATGACATCCTGGTTTAATAATACAATGTCATTTAGAAAAGAAACTTACACATAACATTGTATTATTAGGATGTGATGTCACGATAGCAGTAAACCCATTCCATGTAAGTCATTCTACTAGACCTAGAAACATTTACAACATCATCACTCTTCTTAGGTGTCGTATCATTAATTTAACAAAGGATTATGGTCAATTAAATGAGACGTAATATCGGTACAATTCCAAAACCTCATTACACAATTGAGATCTTTAAGTTTAAATAGAAAATTCAACCAATGCAATTCTGAAAATACTACTATAATTTTAATAAAAGGAAAACTAATGAAAATAACTTGAAAACTTTGAGTTTTAATGATAAGGGTAAAATAAATGGTGAAGTGAATAGTACCAGAATTGACTTTTTAGTGTAAAAATGTAGTATTTCATTAAAGTGAACAATAGCGTGAACTTTTCGTTAAAACTTCATTTAATAAAATTACATGATTGTCACTTAATCCTACCAGATTTTGACCGGTGAATTATTTTTCGACAACCGACCTATCAAATTTTCGAAGTTATTGTAATTTTATGATGTATACATGTTAAAAAACAAGCAAAATAGCTGTTAATTGTGTTGACTCTCTCTCCGTCCGACAAAATAATTGAAACCTTGGTTAGGTGTGAAAATGTGGAAATCAGTGGGAAGCATTGTGTTGCTGTCTTTCTTTCTGGTTTTGGTGTTTTCGGTGCTGAATGTGTTTGATCTGCTGCATCCTCATACTCCTTTTTCCTTCAATTCCACTCTCGCATCCCATGCCCAACACCTCCTTCACTACTTTCCCATCGGGTCTTCCTTTTACTTTGTTTTCCGTTTTTGTACAACAGTTTCTTCAATTCTAATTTATCGTGATTTTTATCAATAATTTTGAAATAATTTGATGGGACCATTGGATTTTCTTTTGTTTATTTGTTGATATGGGTTTTCTTTTCCAAGTTAAAAATATTTGCAGAAACATGTAATGTAATGCTGAAAAATTATGCAGAAAACTAGATAGAATATTTGCAGAAACCGCAACGACTGCGCCTGCAACCCCGAATGTAAGTATGAGGAAGGACTGTTACCTTGAGGGGCCTGTGTTGGAGGAATACACATTTCCTGCACATTCTGCTCCCTTCAATAGCTGCCATGCTTCTACCATTGTTGAGGTTGTGCAGGAGAAACTTTATTTAAAGGAAAAAAAGTAATGAAAGATATGTAGTTCGTTACTATTCTCTCAACATGTTAACTAGGCCAGTGCTTGTTTGTTGTCTGTGTAGGTTGATAAAGATCACTTCTTGGTTGCCTATTTCGGAGGTACGTCAGAGGGTGCACCTGATGTGAAGATTTGGTTGCAGACCTACAAGGTAACGGTAGTGCTCTGCTCACTTTATGAACAGCAAAGGTTGTACTCTTAATTGCAATCATTCTCATTTTTTAAATTTGAAGAAAAACACACACACACAATATCCGTGTGCGTTTACTCCAGTATTTTTCTCTGTTCTATGGTTTATGTGGTCTTTTGTTAGGATATAAATTACAAAACGCACTGCAACTGAAGTTATCTTAGTCTAGTGTACTGATAGTTTATTACTAATTCTTAGTAAAGTCCTGACCGGGCTTTATGTGAATTGTTAACACTAACGGGTAGAATTGTTCGTGGCAGAATGGCTATTGGCAGTCACCTGTCGTTGCTGATGAACAACTTGACACCCCTATGTGGAACCCTGTATTGTTCAAACTTCCATCAGAGGAGCTGCTGCTGTTCTATAAAATAGGACAAGAGGTTCAAAAGTATATTTTTCCTACTAATACTATAAGCATTTGCAGTCACATTTTACTGAACACTTCAGTTTTTTCTTTGCATCTCTTTATGAGCATGTTCCTAACTGTTTTTGTACCGATAGGTGTGAATTTTGCTTGGCTTATATATATCACACAAAGAAAAAGAAAAGGAAAAGCAACGCGATTGTTCTTCATGATTTGAAATCATTTTCATGGCGTAATTAATTCTGGAAGAAAAATTTTCATGTATCTCCCAACTAGTTTAGTTGGTCAAGTCTCTTGACTTGGCAACCTAGGCCTAGGATCAAATTGTTAATTCACTTAAGCTAGTTACTAGCTTAGGCAAAGGCTACTACCTCTCTTGTATAATCCAGAATTTATTTTTTTGAACAAAGTATAATCCGGAATTTAGACCAGAAGAGTTCCATCTTTATTTTGTTTTTCTTTTTTTAGTTCAGAAAAGGAGTATCTGTAAACGTAATGCATTTAATGTGGGTGATTCCGTCGAAGTTGATGGGCAGTTCATGCTCAAAATTGCTAGACCTTGAGATAATCTAGTTAATTCTCACGAAATAAATAATAATAATAATAATAATAATAAAAAAAAAAAAAAAAAGCGCCTTTGGCAGCTATCATGTTTTCTCAAATTGTTTTTTTACTTTTAAGAATGATCCTGTACTGCTTTGCACTGCCATCATACTAACGATGTTTTGTAAACATTTTTTTTTCATTTGTTAGCTTCTGCTAACTATCCGTTGATGAATATCAGATGGAGTGGATGCATGAAGCGGTCATATGATAAGGGTGTTACTTGGACAGTAAGAGAGCAACTTCCTCCTGGTATATTAGGACCAATAAAGAATAAGGTATTACTCGAACTCATATGAAAGAATAAGGTATGACTCGAACTTATATGAAAGATACCTTCTGCTTTATTATTGTTCAGCCTATCTTGCTGGAAAATGGTAATTTTCTATGTGGATCCTCTGTCGAAAGCTGGAACTCTTGGGGCGCATGGGTGGAGGTTGTCACTGAAACTCAATTGCATAGAGTGGTTAAACTTTCAAAATGTTCAGAATTGGTGCCTAACATGTGTGATTCAACAGGTCGCAACAGATTCTGTTAGGTCGTGGAGAAAGTACGGTCCTATTTATGTTGAAAACGAAACTCTTAGTGTCATTCAACCGGTTCCTTACCAGACTGCAAAAGGGACCTTGCGCCTTTTAATGCGATCCTTTGATCAGATTGGGAGAGTTTGTGTTGCAGAATCCAACGACGGTGGCCAGAACTGGAATCATGCAATACCTACTGAACTCCCCAATCCAAACTCAGGTTTGTGCCCGAGTCATAGTTTTTTCATTGTTTAAGGCAGTATATATACATCCGAGTGTGGTAAAATGTTTACCTGGATAATTCAACATTGTTCTGAATTGAGTTTTTCTTTCTCACTGCATCTTCAATCGGTAAACAAGTTAATTTCATTTGCACATTTTCTGTTATATTTAGTATTTGTCGTTTCTTTATAAATTGAAATGTGAGCACATAGCATGTAGCATGTATCTGTTCATTAAACGTCCTTTGTCATTTTTTTCATTCTCATTTCAATCTTTCTTTACGCCAATGTTCTTATTAGGTATTGATGGGGTAAAGCTAAGAGATGGCTTTATTTTACTTGTTTACAACACAGTCTCAAGGGGTGTACTTAAAGTTGCACTCTCAAATGATGATGGGGACACATGGTGTGATGCTGTGACATTGGAGGAGTCTTTGGGAATGGAATTCTCGTATCCAGCTGTTATTCAGGCCAGTGATGATTCTGTTCACATCACTTACACTTATAATAGGACACAAATTAAGGTACTTCTTTGATTTCTGATATTCAAGATGCATTTTGGCAAATGAGATCCATGGTTGATTAGATATTATCATTTTATAAGTTTTCCATTCGAATATATGAGTAACTATCTTCTTTTGGTGGGTGTTATTCTGAGATGCATCTAGATAAATTTATCCGTGAGATGTGTAATTTTTCGGGTCATGAATTTTGCAGCATGTTGTCCTTAAGCCAAGATTACGCAAGGACCCATGAACAAAGGAAACTAGAAGACATGTCTTATTCTGTCTGCATTGCCGGCCAATTTGTGAGCAGAGTATCATTACATGTACAATACCTTAACTGGTAACAATCCTTTGTAAAATTCAATTTGCTCAACTATAATATCTACTGTGTGCAGCAAAGAAATTGACTTTGTCAAGTATTTGTGGTTTTTAGTCTCACTGGTACAAAAATCAATATTTTTTCTTGCCTTATGTTCATTTGATTTCTGTTAAACTCTTGAAGTTGGTATCTATGTTTATGTAATTTCCTTTCCATAGTAACTTTTTAATTTAATTGGTTCCATCCGGCTAGTAGGAAGCAGTGGGTAAGTTGTGAGTCAGAATTCTTAACATAGTCATATGTAGTTCCTTCTGTTGCTGGTTTGTTTCTGTTTTTGGTGACGTTATATCACGCATGAAGTTTAATCTACTATTCGGTTGTATGGAACTGCTTTTAAATGTTAGTGGCTTGCCGAACATGTACAATGTGACACTCGTAGAACTCGTGTAGGTTGTGAAGTTTGCATAAACTTTAGAGGGTCACTTGCAATGTTTTAAGTACAGAGGTAAATTATTCTTCTTACTTTTACCACTTACAGTTTCTTCTCTGTTCTCAGTACGTGGAAAAATTTACCGTGTCTCATGTAAGTATTTTGTTATCCCAGCGATTAGCTTCTGTACTGTTAGAAAAGGTAAAAATCCGCACAAATATTAGCAATATTTTGCCAGGAACCTCGTTTCTTGTCCTACTCAGTTAGAAATCATTGATCTGGATGCTATCTGCATTCGTATTGTTTTGTTATGTGAATCATACATCTCCCTTTCAAAACCCTGCTGTGCCACTTTAATTTATACTCGGTGTTTGTTTTACTCATGGATAACTGGGAAGTTTACTTGAATTTCCGAGTGATGTTGCTGAAAAAGCTCCAGGTATGCAAATCAAACTACCGCAAATCTCGATTTTCTTTTACATGTGTCTGTGTAGTACTGTCCGAGAAGATTATTTGGAACAAACCTACTTAAAGTATTTCTTATTTGTTTGGAGATGACACGGACAACAACAAAGCCTTATCTCACTAAGTGAGATTGGCTGTATGAATCCTGAAACATCACTGCGCTCGGTTTTAGCCTTCGTTAGCCTTATTTGTAGGACACCTAAACTAAGTATTTCCCTCATCGAGAGCTTCTCCAGCAACGCTAGCCAAAATTTGGTTGACGTCAACATGTAATGACACCAAAATTGTTTACAAGTAGCCACTTTTGGAGCACCGGGTTGTTCTTGGCAATTGGTTTCAGAGTTAGCAACCGTAGTTAAGGTTCAAGTCCTATTATTCCATTAGAGTAGATAACAAGGAAAACTAATAAAAAAAGTTTGAAAACTTTGAGTTTTAACGATAAGGACAAAATAAAGGGTAAAGTGAATAGTACCAAGATTGACTTTTTAGTGTAAAAATATGGTTTTTCGTTAAAGTGAACAATACCAGGAACTTTTCGTTAAAGTTCCCTGGATAATATTGCTTGTTTGGAAAAAAAAAAAAAAAAAGAAAAAAAAGTTCGAGTCCTATGATATTAGGCCTTTCGTAGGGTTGGGGGTGGGCTGGGACTGACTTAAATTCTTCATCTTTCTCATCCGGGTTGGGCTTTATACCCTAGAGGAAGCCTTGTAATACCTCCCTAACCTGTGATATGGTGACTTATTGGAGACCAAATTAAAATGTTTTGGTATTGTGTTTTATGATTCATTTTCACATAATTAAGGTTTACAACTAGATTTTTGTTTTCTTTGAATACATACGATCAACTCTTTCAGCTATTTTTGGCTACACTTACGCATCATTCTCATGCAAATTTTACAAGTTTTGAATTCAACAAATATGTTTACACTAAGAGAGTGTGAGATTGGGTTAAGCCACATAATAGGTCGACCATAATATTTAGTATCCTACTTGCCATTTACGCGATCAAACTTAAGATGTTGCATATACAAAATATAGAAATAACACTAGAATGAAGTAGTAAATAGCAGCAAACCCTTTTTCCATTTGAACGTGCTTCCTTTGCTCCCCCAATTTTTTTGTACTACGTTATTCTTACAGAAATGAAAACTCAGTTTTTGATCAAAAAAGTCTCGGGTGATGACAAAATTGTATCACGTCCGTGTTCAGTGTCGTCCTCTCCCTCCCTCCCTCCCTCCCACCCTCGGATATGTATATGGTTCACATTAAATTCCGTATGCCATATGTGCCTCCTTTATTCATTTCACACTCCATCTTGTCAACCTTTCTCCACCAAGTTCGTTTTACTTGCCCCAATGCATTCAAATTCAATGTACTCACACATAAACAAAACTATATTTACTAAAACAAAAACCCCATAATATATACATATTTGGTTCTATCTTCGCGATATCTTTAATTTTGTTACTATACCAAGCACTTGAATGCAAGTCAATGTCGCATACAGTTCAAGGGTTATATTTGATCCTATCTTCACGATATATTTGATTTCACTACAAAACTAAGCATCTGAATGAAATTTGATCTCGTTCTTGGTCTCAGAATAAATATTTACTATTGTGGGGACCTATAACTTTAAGTAGTAAGGAACTTGGTCATATCTTCCCAATAAGAAAAGAGAGTTATTTGGCCGAGAGCAATACAATGTATGTGAACATTACTATTATTGCTATTTAGAGATTAGATCCAATTATTCACACCTATACTTTTATTTATGTTTCCCAACAATAACATCGACATGTAATAAAAGAAAACCCTAAAAAGTAGAGAAGATGAGGTCACGAACGCTCCCATTGTAGGGATTCTTTTTGTAAGGATTCTAGGAATTCTCACATTCTATCTATTTATCGTATATCGTATGATTAGAAATCATTATGCATTTATTTATTTAAAGTTAAACACAAACAGTACCTAACGAAAGTTGATCGCACCATATACGATAAACAGATAGAATATAAGGATCCCTAAGATCCTCACAAATAGGATACGGAAAGGATCCTCATTCCATTTGCAGCACCAATTACACACACACACTTAGCAACACCAATTCTGGGAGCTTCTGCATCCCATTTTAATCGTAGAATCAAATTTTAAAGACTAGAATTATTTGATCTTTGGGTTCCGGATGTATATAGGGCCGGCCTTGAGGGTAGCCCAAGTAGGCATCCGCCTAAGGCCCCCACTTCGGAAGGGCTTCCGAAAAAAATTTATATCCTGTAATTAACATATAAATATAAAAAAAAGTAAGAAATATCATAATTCATTTGCTAGTGCATTGGAAATGTTGGCTTCATTTTTCTTTGGGGTGTTGAGTTCGAAACACGAAGTTGCCTTTCAGTCACTAGGTTTTTCTTAATTTTTCTTGTTTTTCAAATTTACTGCCAATCCATTTGTCCTACTCCCAATCCATCTGTTAAAATGCATATAAAGTTATAAAACTCAAGTCTCTTTGCAATCTTTTTTCTTTCAACTTCTCATTCTCTCCATTTCTATCGAATGTTTAAACCAACTTCTTATTCTCATCATTTCTATTGAATGTTTAAACCAACTATCATATGGTCTTAAAGATTGTACTTTAAGGTAATCAAAACTTTGAATTTTATATTTTTCTTTTCAATAACTTTTTATTCAGTGGATTATTTTAATATTCAATTCGTTAGTGTGATGTTTATTTTAGAAGAAAAAAAAAACACAAAAGAAACAATTGGCGTTGAATTTATTATACTTGTCAATCAAGTTGTATTGTTAAAACTCTCTTGATCATCAAGTTTTATTGTTCTTCACTCTCAATCTTAAACAATTGACTGCAAACATTTAATACATTTGTGTCTAAAAACATGAATCGTGTAATGTTTAAATAATGTTTGTATATTTATCTTCTTTTGATATTAATTTTTAATGATATTTGATGTGAAAATAGAACTTTTTATATATTTAGTGAATTTTAAGGCCCCATTTCAAAGGCTTGCCTAGGACCCTCAAATTCTCAAGGCCGGCCCTAGATGTATAGATCTGAAGAGGATCTGCTCCCCATTTGCAGCACCAATTCCGCCGGGAGCTTCTGTATCTCATCTCAACACCTACTTTTAACTTTTTCAATTAAATGTGACCCCTCTTCTTTCAGTTATCTCAAACACTTTTCCCACCCATTTATTGTGGAACATAAAGAAGAAAGTTGAATTCCATGCCATGCGCCATCCAATGCCAACCCTTAAAAAGGAGGGCCTGGTAAAAGTGAAGAGCATAGTACCATAGAACGAAGAGAGCATAAATTGATGGCAATTTTGTAGGTAGGGTTAATCATGCATGGTGAAAGAAAGAAGAGAAATGTAAAATACTATCCTTTTCGTTCTCTGATATGTTTTCACTTTTGACAGAATGACAGTAGGCTTTGTTTGCGCACGCTAAACTCGAAAGTTGCTGAAAATATGTGAGTCGTCGACAAAACAACAAACAAATGCCAGGCTCTCTCCTTTTTCCTCCTTTCTGGGACTTAACGTGGGTTCCTGAATTAGTCTGCTTTTTGCCCACTGTTGATCTTAAAGAGCAACTCTTCACCCTTACGGCCCTTTCAATCGTCCAACGAGAGCGATTTACATAAAATAGTTTTACTGTTGCATGGTGTTTTGGTTTATTAATTAATAAATATTATGTACCAAATTTTCTTGACATGACAATGGATAAGCAAAGTAAAACATCACGATAATGACAGACTTGTTGTAAGTAAGTTGATCTCTCAATCTCACACACACAAAGTCCAAGTGCATAAGATATGAATGGCTTCTGAGTTGCTGCAGCTTTTAGTAGGCATTATTATTGTGGGGTATATTATAAGACGTTTTGTCTTTACAGTCTTTGTCTTTAACTAGGTAAAAACTCCACGAGAATAAGAATCTTTCCGAATTTTCTTTCTATGGCAAAGTTAAGTTCTATGTTTTTTATTTTTTTGAAAGGGGAATGTGTGAAATGAATGTGAATGTTTTTACATAAAAAAAAAACCTGTAGTTGAGAATGAAAGATAGAAGTATAGAAGTCAAAATTATATAGCTTAAGTATTAGAGTTCGATTTTTACTACTATTTTGGCGTTTAAGCTTTCTAAAAGAGATTTTGGCCGCTCTATACGCATTAAAAGAGATTTTGGACGCAAACCTTTATTTATATAAAAGATGAAAAACAGAAGTAACAATCCTGCTTTC